ATATATATATATATATATTGCTAAATGTATATTCAACAACTATTTGTATGTCAATTTTAAGTAGTTAGATTTATATTTTTTACTACATAAAATATTGAATTGTAAAGTATAAGGACCTATCAAATTGTTATAAAAATAGTCCAACAATTTATAATTTTCAAATAATAAATATAATAAACATTATTGTCTATTTATGACTCATAAAAAAATTGCTAAATAAAGAGAAATATAATATAATACGTATCATACTAATATATAAAGGAATTATTTTTTTCTATAAATATTTTTAATCTCCACAATTATTTTTACCATTATATCCTCAATTATTAAAAAAAGAATTCTTTTTAGTAACTACTATTGACCAATTATTTGAATAATTGCTTAGTTTATTGTAAATAATCATTCAATCTTTTATATTTTTTTTAATTCTTTTTTTATTTTAAAATATATTGAAAAATACGAAGTGTCTCATTTTTTTCTCTAGGTTAGATAAGGTAGATCATTTTGTTACTCAACTATTAGATAAAGGAATTAGTGATAAAAAAAACAACTTAAATGTTTGTAATTCAATGTTTTTCATTTTTGTTCCTCAAAATTATTATTGTAAAATTTAAACATTTTATTTTTAATTTATGTTGTCAAACACAATTACAAAAACGCTAACTAGCTAATGTCACCGCTTGTTATGTCAACAAGAGATTAGAAATAAAGAAAAAAAATTACATGAATGAAAAAAATAATACATAGATTAAAAGAAAAAAGAAGACATATGTGTAGATATAAATAAATACTTAAGCTTCAATAAAATATATAAATTTAATTTAAAAATAATATAAAATAAAAAATAAATAGCAAAAAATTATTTTAATAATTACTTTTTCTCTCATTTTTTTTATTAAACACAATAATATCACTTATACATTACATAAACTCTCGGACCCCTCTCACTCATCATTCATCATCCTTCCATTTTAGTGTTAGCAACTTGGTAACCGAAGAATGTCTAATAATTTAAGCATCATTTTAAAATAAATTTATGCACAAAATGTCTGATTGTCATTTTTTTTACAAAAATTATAAGTCAAGTATCTATTATCTATCATTCTATGAATATTGTACAATTCTCGGTTAACAGCACCATATGAAATCTTTGATTTTTGATTTTTGATTTTTTTATAAATTTTTTTAAATGTTCTCCTGTAACTTACTCATATATGATCTAACATAAAAACCTGTTTTGGGCCCATTGAAGATCACCAACCTTTATTAATTATCTTCGTATTATTGTAGCTGTCCTTATACTTCAACTTTCAACAATCCATAATGGATTACGATATTGCAAAGAGTAAATTACACGGAAATTGATTCAAGTTTCGCAAGATTTCATAAATACTTCACACTTTTTTACTTTTACAATTTTTTATCATATGTTAATTTATAATAAATTTTTAAAATTTAACCGGTTTATAAAATATATTATATGTAAGGAACAAGGAAGTATTATATAAAGATGAAAATGAATAAAAACAAAAAAGTTATTTAAAAGTAAAGTAAAAAAATAAAGATAGGGGATGATGCGTGTGAGTGTGATTGGTCCCTGACACATATGGAGTGAAAAGTGAAACAAGTGTAAGTGTGTTTGGTGAAATTTTTACTTAAATAATATTTTTTTAAAAAAAAATTACAAAAATATCAACTGTGCAGGTTTATTTACCAACGTAGAACTGTTTACTGTTCATGCTCAGAATTCGGTTCCCGGGGAACCGAATTCTGAGCTTCAAAATCTTATTTTTTTTGTTTTTTCAACTCAGAATTCGGTTCCCGCTTTTTTTTTTTTTTCGTGTATGGGGCAAATGTGGGCTGATCTGGGAAGCGGAACGGCCCGTTCCAAAAGCAGAACGGGCCGTTCTGCTTAAAAAAACAGAGTGCAAATTCTGAATGTGAAACGGCCCGTTCCAAAATCAGAACGGCCCGTTCTGCTTAAAGAATTTGCACTCTGTTTCTTTAAGCAGAACGGCCCGTTCTGCTTTTGGAACGGGTCGTTCCGCTTCCCAGATCAGCCCACATTTGCCCCATACACGAATTCTGAGTTGAAAAAACAAAAAAAATTACATTTTGATGCTCAGAATTCGGTTCCCGGGGAACCGAATTCTGAGCTTGAACAGTAACTGGTTTAGGGTTTAGGGTTTAGGGTTTAGGGTTTAGGGTTCTATCTTGGTAAATAATCCTGTACAGTGATATTTTTGTAATTTTTTTTAAAAAAAATATTATTTCAGAAAAAAATTCGTGTTTGGTTCACACAAATGAATGGTTTTGATGGGAACATTTCACTTCTCCAACTCTTTCATGGCTACCCATTTACAGGTTGCAATTCCAGAACACAACCTCTTGATCGTCGGTCCTGGGGTTCTTGGCCGTTTGGTGGCCCAAAATTGGCGTCAGGTACTCACTCTCTTCACTCATATCATATGTGTTCTTTCATTTTGGATAAACAAATTAATATAATATTGTTAGACTTAGACATGTTATATAATATTACTCTCTTACTTTGTTTATTGGAGCAGGAATACCCTGGTTGTCAAGTTTTTGGACAAACAGTTACCACTGATCATCACCACGAATTGACTAAACTTGCTATTAATCCCTCTTTGGAATGGACCAAAGCCTCCCACAAATTTCCTTATGTCATTTTCTGTGCCCCGCCTTACCAATCCTCCGATTACCTTGCTCATCTTAGGTCACCATTCTTATCATCTCTTTCTTCCAAAGGAAACAAAAAAGGACAATTTTTTTTAATGGGAAAATTAGTTTATGTGCTATGATACAATCATGAATAGTATGTTGGTTTAGATTGTTAACTTTTATAATAATTAAGGTAAAAAATCGTATTAACGATCATTTCTATTGCACCGATGGTGTACAGAAATTAAACTAAAAAAAATATTGTTATTCATGTTTAAGAGTTGTTTTTATTCCGACCTTATGTGTGGTGGACTGTCAACCAATCAGGCTGGCTGCATCATGCTGGAATGGTGAAGGTTCTTTGCTGTTTACATCAAGCTCTGCCCCTTATGATTGTAATGATAATGGGTTTTGTGATGAGGTAGGTCTAAAACATTCTTTGGCTGCTCTCTCTCACTCTTTTGTTGCATAATTTGTGCCATTCACCATCACTTATTTTCCTCATCTTCAGATGCATAACATTGTAGAATCATGTTTGCCATGTTTTGGGCATCAGTGTTGACAACATATCTTGTTCATGTGATTAGGTTTTTTTTTGTTTTTTTTTCTGTACAGGATAGTCCAGTGGTGCCAATAGGGAGGAGCCCCAGAACTGATGTCCTTCTAAAAGCTGAAAAAATAGTGCTGGAGTTTGGTGGCTCTGTTTTAAGACTGTCTGGACTTTATATATCCTTTTCAGAATTCAGTTTACTAGGATTTCAATTACCCATTTATCTGGTAGTTATCTCTAGAGTAATGTTGTGTCTTCCTATAAATCCTCTTATTATCTTATAAAGAAAATATTAATAAAAAAAATAAATTTATAATGTTTGAAAATATACCAACATTCAATATGTTTATGCCTATTATCTGCTGCCAACCTTGACATTTTAAACAAAACAGATAAAGGTGCTCATGTTTATTGGTTAGAGAAGGGGATTGTTGAATCTCGTCCTGATCACATCCTGAATCTTATACACTATGAGGTCGGAATTTCATTGCATCTTATTGTATTCTGTAAATTATTTTCAACATGATAGTGGTTTTATTTGTATTTGGCAATAGAAATCTTTAAAACTGTTTGACATTGAGTCATTGAGGTATTGAATTTAATTTTATCCGGTTTACCATCAAAAGCCAAAAGATGTTCGTTGATGTGCTTTCTCTATTCTCATCACAGTCGCATATTTGGTTTCATATTTTGCATTTCACCATGAGACCAATTTTAGTCCCTTAACGAACTTCTGGTGACAGTTTCTGTAGAACATTGCATTTTTTAATTTCTAATTTTGGTCATTTAGACATTTATACTGTTTTTAATATGAAAATTTGGATATTTTGCTTAATCTGCCCCAGGATGCAGCCTCCCTATCTGTTGCAATTTTGAAGAAAAAATTTCGTGGGAGAATTTTCTTGGGTTGTGATAATCATCCCTTATCCAGGTTACATGCTACCCCTTGGGTTTGAAATTATTATCATGGACACAGTAATTGCTTCTTTCTTTCTGATATTTGTTCCTCATTCTTGCAATTGCTGTGTTAGGTAGTGGTGCAATATATGTTTCCTTCTCTCTGATCCTTTCTAAATGTTGGCAGGCAAGAAATAATGGATCTAGTTAACAAAAGTGGGAAATTCAGTAAAAAGTTTGAGAAATTTACAGGTAAATAAACACTCTTTTTGATTTGTAAATGGTAGATTTGAGATCGAAAACCAATAGTAATTAACAAACCATTATCACCTATGTTGCAAGGGTACACAAATGGTACTCATAATCAACTATTTTTCTAACTTGTTTTTTAGGGTGCTATCACTGTGTCACTCATGACTCAACATTGTAAAAGCATCCTTGAGCCTTTGTTTCTTACCTTTGCAGGAACTGATGATCCTCTAGGGAAGAGATTAAACAACTCCAGAACACGCCAAGAACTAGGGTGGGAACCCAAGTACACTAGCTTTGCTCATTTCCTTGAGACCATCTGATTAACTCGCTGTTTTCTCCATGGTGACATTATAGATAGAGAAAATTACCATGAATCATTTGCTAAATGAAAGCAGAAACACTTAATTTGTTGATTGATATCAAGATTATTTTGCATATAAATTCTTACTTGCAAGATTTATTTGTTTAGCCTTGCTGTGAAGGGGTATAATAAAGACATGGTCAAGATGCATTGGTAGACTATGTTTGGATAAAATGCATATTTTTGAATTTCAAAACAAAATGAAAACGAAGAAATTTTTTACTTTAAGAATTTAAGTACTTTTGAGTTTTGAGTTCTCCTTACTGATTCTTAATTATGTTGTGCTTGTAAGTATGTATTATCAATGTTTTAGAAGTATCATTATCCAATCCTGTACCTGGAACTACATGACAGTACTCTCATTGAAGGTAAACGCAATATAGCGATAATTAATAGTATCATCATTCACAAGGTCATGTGCGTATCATTTTGATCAAGCATAATTATGAAATATTATTGCAATTTTCAAAAGCTATTTGTGGATATCATTTCTCATTTTGGCTTGAAAGATGCATCTTTATTCCCGCGAAACTTGACACCATATGGTTTGAATCATTGGAAAACTTGCCTCACGGCCCTTTTTTGTGATAATGGATACTTCTATTTTTTTTATATCGCCAAAATTTTCAATGTGGAGTGGAAATTTGTGATATTTTATAAATTAAGAGGCAAAATTTGTGGAAAAATCTTTAGGAGCAAAATCCGTAAGATTATAAAACTTTTAGAGACAAAAAGTGGAATAAAATCATTAAGTAAATAGAGAAATAGACAGTAAGAAAAAGTTTCCTAGCTTAAGTGAGTTTATGAAGCAAAACACTCGTTATTATTTTAACTAATCAAATCTTTTATGAGTTAAGGAAACAAAACTTGACTTGATTTATGTTAATCAATGTTTAATGTGAATTTAGGAAGCAAAACATGATTATAATTTTAATTTAGTCAATTTGAATATAAATTATAAAATATGAGAATTTTCTTCCTAATTTACACTATAAAAAAGAGTTAATTACTTATATATTACCGGTGTAAAGTTTTTTTATACTGGTAACCAATCATATATTTTAATAGTGTCATGTCAGTTGCTTATTTAATGAAATAAAAATAAAATAAAATAATTTAAAAAATTTTATTGATTGCCAATGTAAAAATTTTTACACTGATTTTGTATGAATGATTAACTCATAAAAAAATTATCTACTTGCACACACTTACCTAAAATATTTACCAAACTAGCACCTCACACTATTCATATTTTACGGTGTGAATTTGGATTTGAGAGATCCGAGTTTATATCATATTTTTTTTTACTTTTCAAAACTCTATTTTAAAATTTGGATCTTTCTAGCCCGAATTCTAATAAGCTATTATTTGATATTTGTTCATGTACCTAATTATTTTAGCTTTGTTTTCTAAAAAAATTTATTTTAACTTTGTGTCTGTTGAAGCTAAGAAAAAGCAAGGATTTAGAAGATGAATGAACTTATTATCAAAGATAAAGAAATGGATTATCAGAGTTTATGAATATCTATAATTCTTTTATCAAAAAATGGAAGCATATATTTAAAACAATGATAAATTATATGAATTAGAGCTGAGATTATACTTAGGTTGGAGTTTTTCTCATAATTAATTTTTTTTAAGTACTGTTTTTCATTTTATCTAATTGCCTACTCAACTCCTCTTTTCTCCTTTTTCGTTCATATATATATATATATATATATATTATAATTTATCAATCATTCATCATCTTCACATCTCTTTTATTTTATTTTTAATAATGAAATTAATGATATATGTAAAATAATAACTATAAAAATAAGTAACAAATATAATAAATAAATAATTAAAAAATAATATTTTTCATTCGTTGATATAAAACTCACTAAAAATGACGTTGTCAAATTATTGATAGATATTAATGGGGAATATTCACATAGTTATATATATATATATAAAAAAATTGACCTATTAAAAAAAATAACACTTAGATACAATTTTTTTTATATGCGATTAGTGTTGTTGTTCCATTACAATTACATCAATATTATATATTTAACACTTAGATACTATAAGTAAATTTTTTCCTTAAAAAAATAGTTAAAATTAGATTGTAATCAATTGTAAATACAAGTGAATCCTAGTGATCATATGGAGATAGTAGTTGACAAAGTTGTGTTGTACTGTTCTACTACTATCATATGATATGATATGATATGTAAGAGTGAATCCTATTTGGATAGTGGATGCAAAATGCAACAGGCACGCCCACGTCATCTCATCACCACCACCCATTCGGATTCTCCTCTGTAAGTGTAACCACTTCCACAGTTCCACTTCACTTTCCACTCTCCTTCATTCCTCACCTCACAACTCTTTCTTCTGCTTCTCAATCACACTGCAACCCTTTTCATAGCTCCCAAAATGTCCCTCTGCTACACCAACTTCATCTCACTTCACTCCCTCAACCATCAAAACCTTTCCTTAACCTTCTCTCCAGAGTCCCATCACTCCATCAACCTATTTCCTGTCAGGCCTCGGAAACCGCACCACCCCATCAACTCCACCGCAGAAAGGTTCAAACTTTTTGCCTCTCTCACGCCATCCCAAGCAGTTGAGACCACCCCATCAAGTTTCAGGAGCAAGAGCCCCAAAGATGTCAACGTCTTGGTGGTGGGTTCAACTGGGTACATTGGAAAGTTTGTGGTGAGAGAGTTGGTTAAGAGAGGCTTCAATGTCACAGCCATTGCTAGAGAGAAGAGTGGAATTAGGGGTAGCAGTGATAAAGATCAGACTTTGGCTCAGCTAAGAGGGGCCAATGTGTGTTTCTCAGATGTTACAAATTTGGATGCTTTGGAGGAATCTCTGAATGGTTTGGGGAATTCCTTTGATGTTGTTGTGTCATGTCTTGCTAGTAGAAATGGAGGGGTTAAGGACTCGTGGAAGATTGATTATGAGGCAACAAGGAATAGTCTTGTTGCTGGAAGAAAACATGGGGCTTCTCACTTTGTGTTGCTTTCAGCAATATGTGTGCAGAAACCCCTCCTTGAGTTTCAGCGTGCTAAGTTGAAGTTTGAGGATGAGTTGATGAAGGAGGCTGAGGAGGATGGTGGATTTAGTTATAGTATAGTGAGGCCAACTGCATTTTTCAAGAGTTTGGGGGGTCAGGTTGAGTTGGTGAAGGATGGGAAGCCTTATGTTATGTTTGGAGATGGGAGGTTGTGTGCTTGTAAGCCCATAAGTGAGGCAGATTTGGCTTCTTTCATTGTGGATTGTGTGCTGAGTGAGGACAAAGTTAACAAGGTGTTGCCAATCGGAGGGCCAGGGAAGGCATTGACTCCTTTGGAACAAGGGGAGATTTTGTTTAGGCTATTGGGAAAGGAGCCAAAGTTCCTGAAAGTTCCAATAGGGATCATGGATTTTGCCATTGGGGCTCTTGACTTTCTGGTTAAGATCTTTCCTTCATTGGAGGATGCTGCTGAGTTTGGGAAAATTGGAAGGTACTATGCGGCGGAGAGTATGTTGCTTCTGGATCCTGAGACTGGAGAGTACAGTGCTGAGATGACACCTAGCTATGGGAATGATACATTAGAAGAGTTTTTTGCAAGGGTTCTGAGGGAGGGGATGGCTGGTCAAGAGCTAGGTGAGCAAACAATATTTTAACATGGTTGTGGTTAGATATGTAAGAACACAATAAGTCAATTAGAGCAACCAGTTTTGTTTCTGTAAATGTATGTATTCAGCTAGAGTCACTGTAATGCTTACAAGTTCAGGCATTGTTGAAAGAAAGTCAAATCTCTGGAAATGAATTATTATTGAAGATTCATTCTTCAATTGCATTGCACTATCATTCCCCTGTTAATAAATTGCTTAATGCTATAGCCTACTGGCAGTTGAGTTTGTTGTCCTAAAACCAAGTTCATTTTTGTTCTGTAAGGAGCTGGATCAGTGCATAGTGCATACTGATGTATTGTTGATACTTCCTCAAATATACCACTACGTAAATTTTCCCATGCCTAATCACTATTGTCAATTGATTACTCAAAATGAGGACCTATTTAAATGGATTGACTAACGGCATGTTTGGACTTGCATCTAATTTCTTCAAAAATCACGATTAAGTTGATTTTGGCGTAGAAGTTTCATTGGATAGCTTCAGGTGTTCACGTCTTATATGTATGTTTTAGTCACTTGGACATGCATCCAAACATGCACTAAACCGTATTTTAAAGCACCTATTGGTTATAACCCATCAAAGTCTCCTGCAAAAAAGAAGAATTTCTTCCTTGCATGACATGCATGGAATATATCCCACTGGTATATCAAAGTTCACCAAGTTTTAGGTAATGTTGGCCGCTTTAGTAGTGATCTTGCTTTAGCATAGTTTCCTGTGCGAATGCTCTCGAACCTGGTGTACTAAAGGGAGCCAGGGGGAGTATTTGATTTGCACAATCAAGTATAAAAGCATTAATCGTATAACTTGTTCTTCAATAATTGTAAATGTTTTATTTTTTGAGGGAGCAGGATAATTGCAAATCATTTTTAGCACAAATAGGTTGCAAAATACAACTAGGATCCATGGAGGACATCGATTACACACGAGAAATGCTAGTAGCACATTACATAAACTTTTCACTATATTCTTTATTATCATATGAAATTCATATGAAACACACTGATTAGGAATTGGACTTGCATCATTTAATAAAACTCGTGAATTCCATTAAATAACAAAGACTGTCGAAAAGAATGTTTATAGAGAGTGTGTTGTTAACATTCTTCATTACACATAGTCAACACCTTTGAAGAAACACTCACAAAAACAAAAGGTATTCACGTGAATCTATGATGACTATTAAGTTGGCACACTGGTGACTTTGTGAACAATGTGACTCTGGAGTTGAGTTCATATGTATGTTGAATGGTCATGCTCCTTCCATCTACTTGGGAACTCGACTGTGAATGGTGAAAGCTGAAAGCCATATGAGCAGGACAGTCACAATGCTGCCAAACAAAGCCACTGATATGGAGCCAGCAAGATGCCTACAGAACTTGTCGTAGACATTGCAAACTTTAATCCAACCGACATGGCTGTTGCCCTTTAAACCAACATATGCCACGCTTCCAGCTGCTCCTGTTGCTGACGCTGTTATCCCCAATATCAGCTGCACCAAGTCATGGTGAACAGTTTATCATAATTTGTTATGCTTTGTATATATAAAGCAAGAGAGTTGAGAAGAGAAGATGAATAGCAGTGTGGAAAGAAAGGTTAATTGATAATTACTGCATCCCAGAAGAGAAAGTGGAGGAGGAATTTCAATTTGTATTCTGGCTTCTGAATCAGAGAGATAGATACCAGAGCAGAGATGAGAGCATAAAGGCCAGAAACACTGAATGCAGCCACAAAATATCTGCATGCATATCATATTATATTTCAAGTTAAAATTCTTATTAAGTGATCTTTAGAAGACTTGTTGGACAGAAAAAAAGGAATCAAATAGAACGAGTCTTTATAAAATTATAATAAATGTATGTAAATGGAAGACTTTGGACCTTCAAACTAAAAATGAAAAAATACTTGAGGAACATTATCTCAGCAATATAGAACAGAGAGGAAAAAACAAAAAGTATGCACACAAAAAAGAAAAAAACTTTGTCCTGTGCATGGGTCATGGATTTTTTACCTTTTACTTGCAAGGAATTTAACCTTTTTTTTTTTTTTTTTTTGTGAATGAAAAGTTTAAATTAAGATAAGACATAACTTTATATAAGGTTAGAAAGAACTACCAAATTATTTGAAGATTTCCAATGAAATTATAGATTGTTTATCTCATTCCCAGGATGAGATTATTTACTTTTGCAACAAAACTCATATACTAAAGAAGGTCAGCATGTTACATCCTTATGTTTTAGAGTAGTCAAGTCAAGAGGTTGATTTATAAAGTGATTTCCACTAAGCATGAAGCAGAAGCAGAAACACAAAATATCTCTAGAGCTCAAAATAATTTAAGGAAAAAGTTCAAGCAATTAAGGAAATTTTTTAAGGTTGGTACAATTCATATTCATAGTGCTTTTTTCCCCATCATTGATTCTTCTTTTGTATCAAGATATTTGATATCATATAGAAAATAACTAACTACAGAAAAGCTGCAAAGAATTTGAATGATTCTCAACTTACACAAAAGCCGGTGAGTACTTGAACTTGGCTGGCTGTGGTACAAGCATATTTAGGAAGAGCACTAGCTCTGTTTGATCACTGGAGACCATCACCGCAAGCGCCACCACTGATGCCACCAGCAACAGAAATCTGAGGATCACATCAACTTTAAAGTAGTCCACACCAGCCGGAGGCGGTGGAGTTGAAGATGATTTGTACTCAGTTTCTGTAGAAGCCATGAAGTGCTGATCTGCAAGGTGGCTAGTGAAATTGATTTGAATGGCAGGTACTAACTAGTAGGAGACTTAGTGGGACTAGATAGTTGCAACTGAGAGAGAAATGCAAGATATGGATAGTTGAGAGGAATAATCTATTTGCTTATATATACATATAGAAGGATTTGATATTAGTGGGGGAGCCAATTGAACAAAAAAGATGTAAAAGCAAATGAGTTAGTGTTCTCTGCAGGCTAAGTGATATGGTTTTTGAACAGTTGCTTGTTGGTGCCTAAGTGATTGAGTCACACAGCTAATAACGATAATTTTAGATATTTTCTTATTCACAAAAAATAGAACTTGGTATTAAGAAGTTTATAACACTCAGACATCTTTCTCAACCAATTGAGCTAGATTCATTCGTGTTGAAAATTTTGTATATGCCTTGGCACAAGGTTCTCATAAAAGACAATTTTTTGTCAGCTGAATAACTTAAGCAATATAGGATTATGATTATGTTTGATTGAGAATGTGATTTGAAGGTTTTCTTTTTGTTTTTAGCTATAGGCTATATAGCATGGTCATCACAAGTTGTGTTACTAGATGTGTCTGTATTTACGAGGCCAAATAAGCAGAGACATGTATAAAATTGTTACAAGTGTTAAATCTGTCACAAGCCTGTGGTCCTGCCTCCTATAATATAATCGTCTCATATTTATTTTTTTGCCAAGTTTGGTAGTATTAGATTAAATTCTCTTATGTTTCTAAAAACGTTTCAATAGAGAAATTAAAATGTATATATATATTTTTTTTAAATTACAAGACTAGAAAAATTAATTTTAAATTTGAGAGATTAAAACAAATTTATCTTATATTTAAAAAACTTAAAACATACTTGAGCCAATTTACAAAATAAAGTATGGAAGTAACTTTTGATCCAGGTTACACAATTTAGATGCAAAAGGATTACTATTGGAATTGTGAAATTAAGATGGGGAGTAGGGCCAGGGTTCTTCACATCTCTTCTTAACTAGTTTGATGGAAAATTGAATGTTAGTTTAAACTTCCTTTCAAAGGTTTAATCACACATTCGTGCTCCTTTGTAAAATATTCAAGACTAACAATGAAAACTATCTTGACCTTCCACTTCAGTTTGAAAATAACTTGGGAAAATTGTGTAAAAATGTGTTAACATATTCTAAAAGAATGCAAATTGTATAAAGAATGAATTATAATTGGTTAATAATGTAAAAAAAAAAAAAACCATACTAAGGTGCATGTTTTGTTAAACTCATGATTTTTAAATCCAGCCGGCTGCCAATTAGTTCAAGTTTATCTTCAATTCATTTCTGGACAAATCCAATATATTGAGTGTTGCTAGTCCACATTCTACTGATTCTGGTAGGTTTATTTTATATAGTTTTCTCTCATTTTGGGTAGGTTTTAGAAGAAGGGTTGGTTTTTAAAGAAAAAAAAAGTCACTTTGTTTTATCTTTGATCTAATCCATCTAGTTTGAAATGATTTGACCCACCAAGAAAGAGTATTATCCACAAATCGACCACCCTTTTCTTTCATGAAACCTAACTAAACTTGATTAACGCAGAAGGTAACCTATCTGCCATGTGTTTGGTATACCATATGAAATGTGTGTTAACATAAAAATTCACGTCTAAAGAGGCATAAGTTATAAAAATTTGTTTTCGTGAAGGTATAAGTATAATCAACTCTCATGCAATAAAACATCAATCATGTGTAGAGGAGTTTGAGATTTTTTTTAATACACTTTTAGGGACAATTTAGGAGTTAGGTTATTAAAGTTTAAATTTTAAGTTTATCATAAAAAAATGTTTATTGTTAATTTTTATAAAATAAAATATCACATACAAAAAATCTTATATATGACAAAAAGATTTGACATGTTTTTTATTTAAATAAAACTTTTAAAATTTACTGCTAGTCTCACTTATATATAATTAGATAAGTATTATAGACTTTATTTAATATATTTTTTAGCGGTTAAAATTATTAAAAAAATTACAAAATTTAGAGAGAAGTTTATTAAATAAAGAAATAAAATATTATTCATTGACAGTATAAAATATGTTGTTTATATATAGTCATTCAATAAAAAAACATCTTTATCATAAATAATTTATTGAATTTTATAATAATCACCTTAAAAATCACATTAATAATAATTTTTAATTGGTTGACAACTTAAAAACTTTTTCAATAACAATGCATTACCGATAATGATTAAACCTTTAAATAAAAGAGAAAAAAATTAATAATATAAAATAATTTTAATCAATCATTTAATTACAAATTATTTTATATCATAATTTGTTGAATTTTAAAATAATATCTTAAAAATCATATTAATAATGATTTCTAACTATTGATTGTACTATTTTACAGTTACGATATATGACCATTAAACTCAAACAAAATATGAATTCCAAAAAAAATTATAACTTGCAATAATTTTGATCAATAAAATTGAATATATTTGTATATAATAATTATTGGACAAGAATAAAGAAGTCAAAGTTCTTTATTTATTTCATTTATAAATTGAAAATGAATATAATTCCAATTTTGTTAATCTCGACCAATTAACTTTGAGTTTGGATTATTATAGAACCTTCCATTCTTTCCTTCAAAAAAGCCAAAGAATGGGCACGCTTACGGACCAATTGACCATTTATATGTAGTTACTAACGTAACCTTTTCAATGGGTGATGCTATTTATATATAATTATTACTCTCTCCTTCTCAATATCTTATGTATGGTTCTAAGTTTTTTTTTTATATTGATTAAAAAAAAGTTAATGAATAGATAAGATAATAGATATATCATTATATTTTAACTATTAAATGTCATCTAATAAAAAAAATAATTATGACGTTGCATGTAAGTTTTTTTTTTTTTTTTTTTTTGTTGAAAAATGATTTTATGTCTCTAATCTATAGCTACTATTTTGGATCCCTATTACCGGAGTTATAGTAACTAGGTAGATGCTCATAGTCAAAGCTGTAATAAATTTAATCATGAATTTTGAATTTTGTTGGCTAGATTCAAGTGCTCAATCATGGATGGACATGCTCACTTCAACCACACTAAAGTTTCTCTCATTTTTTCTTCACCAATGCTATGATCGATGCAACTCAACATTCATAAACACATCAAGTAATAAAAGTGTAATTAACGTCGATTAAAATTATTTATTTTAAGTAAATGTTTCTTAAGACTGTTGAAAAACTAATATTTCCGATTTCAAATTCCTAAAAAAATTAAAAATATTTTGCATATACCAAATGCCCTGACACTTCTAATATTTCGTAAAATTAAATGCATTTCTTTTACTTTTTCCCACTCTCTTAATTAATTATTTTAAAAAATAATATGCTAACACTACATCACACAAACTTATCTTCATTGTTTAAAAAACATTACATCATGTTTTCGTATAAGGAAAGATGACGTTGTCCTAAACATTAAAATAGTCCTACTTCAATTTTTTTTATTAACGTTGTTTTACAAAAATTAAGAAACACAATAAATTATTAGAAAAATTACATTGACTTCACATGAGGTCTTTTTAAATATCATACACCTTCCTCTTTAGTTTTTTAAGTAAATGTCTCTCTTATTTATTTATCTAAATGATACTTATATAATATGAGATAATATTATTTATATTATTAAGGTAAAATAGATTATTAGTATAAGTATTAATAAATAAAATTAAATAAGACTTAATTTTTTACTTAATTTTAATTCCTAAATTATATCATAAATATCATGTTTATTGTGATTAAACAAATGTACCAATTTTAAGGAATAATTTACAAAATTATTATTTTCAAAATTGAAGAATAATGAATTTTTTTTATAAAGGAGATATAATATCATATGTAATTCATAAATAAAGAATAAACATATATATGAGTGGTATATTATGAATTAAATTTTATTTTTTGACATGTATGTGTCATTTAAAAAAACATCAAGGGAGATAAGTATAATTTTTCCTAAATTATTTTTGTTTTTTCATATAATGATTTTAATGTATCTTATTATACTTTCTTTGTTTTTACTTCATAATAAATGTATGTTAGTTGTAAGTGTAAATTAATTAAAAATTAGATGAGATAATTGATAGAACAATAATTATTATAATGTGAAACTTTAAAAACGATATATAAATGAAAACAATTTTTTTCCCAAGAAACCGACAATTAAATAACATATTAAAACAATCTCATGAATCGTAAGTGTGATTTAATCTCTCACGATGTATATATACATAATAATTGTGAAGCAGAGTGCCTCTAATTAATTAATTAATTAGTTTATATGTATATATTATTTAGAAGTAAACACGAAACTCGTGAGTGTGAGTGAGTGAAATTTATCGGGATGGGTGATGTTGATGATATATACTTCAATTCAAGTTCAACAAACACAGCTCAATGAGCTCATAAATGCTTTTCATTTCATTCTAACAAAAGAATATTGTCTGTCTCTGATGTGCATTTGTTTGCGCGCGTAGTACGTAACTGGGATTGTTGAACACACATGTATAAATGTTGTTGTTGAGAAAGAGAGACACTGCATGCATGCCAACAGATTCAATAGTAAATATGATAATAATTTTATGAAACAGAAAAATTAACCACTTCTTTTTTAAGTTCACAAGTTATATATGAAGATGTAGCAGGTTTTAAATTTGCACACTCGCATTAAATATTGGTAATACTTACAGAATTGAAGTGGCACACATGGTGTGTGCAACTGTTGTCTTATATTTTAGTAGCAAGGGGTGACGGATGAATATGAAAGGTTAGTCACGATTGAGCAATTATAGAGTGCCACTCAAGGCGTGTGCAACTGCTATGATGCAAGGGTTCCCATCACCTTTCTCAATTTTAAAACCATTATTACAAACTAATGCATGCATGCTTATTACAACCCAATGTACATGTACACCACATTTTTATACTTACAAATATATATATTAATTTTCAATTTCAAACATTTGTTAATTTCCTTAAGCAAATTAGGGATACTAGAGGCTATGATACATATAGCATCTATATATATGCTTATTATACATATTCTACTAGAGGCTATAATACATATAGCATCTATATATATAATTTAATGGAATTTTGGTGACATATTAGGGATGTATCAAAGATTCCGAACACACTTTGAGCACATGAATTCCAATGATATTCTTCAAATTTAAAGGGCTATGAGGAAAGTTTATTAATTTCCTTAAGCAAACAGAGTGGAGCAAGATGGTTGTCCATTTTACATTGAACATTTCTAAGTGTCTAGACTCTGTAGAGTTATATAATAAATGCACTTGTTGGTGACTCTCCATGCTAATTTACTTTCCAACAACGACCCCTTCTAAGATGTGCATACTTTTCCACGCCTTAAATGCCATTCCACACAAACAGTATGGGGATAAATTAATGGTATTCCTCCAAGTCACACCCCTAATAGCAACAATATTGCCAACTTCCCTTTCCCTCTTAAATTCCACACACACACACTATTTAAGGACACATTCCCTCAGTTCCTTTTGCAAGGTAACGCAGAGTTTTGTGTGGTCTTGGTTATTAGAATGGAGGGTGAGAGTAAGGGTAGTTTTGATGTGATGGATCAAGGGAGTGAGAACAAAGGAAGAAAGTTAATTGTGGGAACTTGTGATTTGGTTTTAAGGCTTTTGGCATTTGTCATGACCCTAGTGGCTGCTATAGTTATAGGGGCAGATAAACAAACTGCCATTGTTTCAATCAAGCTTCTGGATTCCATGCCACCTTTGGATCTTCCTGTTACTGCTAAGTGGCATTACTTGTCTGCCTTTCTGTAAGTTCTCCCATACCTTACTTTTTTTTGTCTGCTGTATAAACAATATTACTTAGACTCTCATTAGATACAAGATATATGTATTTTTTAGAGTTTTTCTCTTGAAAATAAAAAGTATTTTTCAATAAATAAACTCTTAAAAGAATTTCTAAGTTTATATCAAAACAAATTCTAACTGAACAAGATTTAGTTGATTAGAAAATCTTCCATTATGCACCAGGAAGTAGAAAACATGTTTTAAGGTTTTTTTCTTCTTTCTTTTAAGAATGAATTACACTGGCACTTAAGTTTCATGAGATTGCACTTAATTTCTATTTTTTAACGTTTATATCAATATCGTTTATTGGAGAATGCAGTATAATAGTTTTTAAACAATTAAGAAAAATTAGAATAGGAATAAAACAATATCAAGATAAATTTTACAAAATATTTAATATAACTATTTTTTTTTAAAAAAAAAATCACATGTCAATGTTGCAAGTTTTTATTTTTATTTTTATAAGTCAAATAATTGAAATTAAAGGAAATATAAGGAGTACTCCAACTCATTACAAAAATTATTTAGTTTGATTTGATTTAGATTTTATAATTTATTTAAATTAAATTAAATTGAACAGTACTTGATTTTTTTTTTATTTAGACGACTTTTAAGATAAAAATTGAATTAAATTGAATAATGAATACCACTATTAAATAGAAACAAAAGATAATTAAACCTTAAAAAGAATTTCGTTTGATTTGTTCTCCAATATGGTTTTTTTCTTATGAAAAATTGCAACAAAATGATCTTAATAAAAAAATGTTGTCTATCTATTACACAAAACACTACAACTAAATTACATTGGAGAGAATTGACGTTAAAGTTTATTAGGTGTCTCAAACATTAAAGATGCCCATACTGGATGTGGATGGAACTCAAAGATTGATCTTAAAAGAATCTGTCTAGACTAAAACTTCCAACTGAGTGTTGAAGAGGCATGAATCTTGTCTTAAAAGAAACAAGTATTTTTCAAAATTTTCTGCCAAACCATGTTGTTCCCATAAATGCTCACCATTGCCGATCTAATTCACGCAACCATATATGTTATCGTCATATTTTAAAATTAAATTCCAAAACATAGCAAATGTAATGAAAGAACTCACTAAATTTCACGCATGTATTATTATTATAGCTATTTTGTGGCGGCAAATGCAATTGCATGTGCATATGCAACACTGTCTCTCCTACTTACTATTGCAAATAGGCGTAAAGGCAAAGGGATGGAAGCATTGATCAGTGTGATTGATGCACTAATGGTGGCTTTGCTCTTCTCTGGTAATGGTGCTGCCATTGCAATTGGTCTTCTTGGCTTGCAAGGAAACTCACACGTGCATTGGAACAAAGTGTGCAATGTTTTTGGCAAATTTTGTCACCAAGCAACTCTTTCTCTTTTCACGTCACTTCTTGGATCAACAGCATTCCTCTTGCTGCTTGTGGTTCCTCCTCTTTTGAGACTTAAGAGGGCTAACTAAGGTGCCTTGGAGTATTAAATCAATAAATTTAATGTTTTACAACTTTATTATATGTGTTATTATATGTGAGGATTAATATTAGTGTGGTCACACTCCAACTCCATGTAGATCATTTCATTGTATTATGTGTGAGAAACTTATTTAGGAAGGTGTGATGAGTTTGGATTATAGCATATGAATGCATTTTAGTCATTAATGTTTCACATAAGTTTGTAAAAAAACAAAAAAAAACTGTTGAATCAAAACTGTCCAATAGCCTCCCTAACCACCAAAAGCATCATCTACTCCAAACAGCAAAATCATGAACTGCCATGACAGAAACTACAAATGAAGCTTGTTACCAAATCAAATTGTGAAAATGTTTCCGTGTTGCAGCAGGCCTTTTCCAAGGTGCATAATTTGATGCAGATCACCCACACCCACCTCTAATTCTAAACTCCCAATCAACAAAAATATCACCAATTTATTTTGCTTCTGTTTCATTCCAAATTCTCTTCAAAGACATTAATACAAAACTGAAATTCACAATTTTATTTAACTTTCACTTGCTTTTAGTCAATTCAATGCCAAATGTATAACTGAAATTTATTAAAAATTACAAATTTAACGAGTCTCTCACTTGATTTAATAATAAAATTTATCAAAATTTTTAATTTAATCATAGAAAAAATATTAACAAGAGGATATTGAAAAGAGTATCACTATCATTTTTTCTTGATGCAATAATTTGTCAATTGTCACCCTAAATTACATATTCAAATTATAAGGCTTATAAGGGATTATGCATTTTTTTTTACTGAATTGGATTATGCATATTTACGTTTATACTTGAAAATTATTTTTGAAAGTCTAAAATTAACTCATTTCAGACGAATATTAGATAAAAATAGCATGTTCTTGGATCAATTCATGAACGACAATAATAATCACAAAAACTTTATTGACATTTTTCTTTATCGAATTAATTAAATTCATTTCTATATAGTTAAATAATTAAAAGGTTATATAAGTGATTTATTTCCTACCTATTTTCTCTTGATTTTAGTGAACTTAGTACCTAAATCTCATGTCTAATATTGGATTGAGAGGAGAACTGAAAAATAGAAAACAAAGTTGAGGTCGTTTCTAGTTATAACCAACAACTTTATATTATGTGTTTCCATCAATGAAGGCAACTAGTTGCCAATGCACAACTCCTATTATAGCACAAGAAAAAATAATCGGTTACACAACACCTGTTACACTCATCAAATCCATATTTTCATGGCTAAACCATAACACAAATCATCTTTCTTCTCTTCATAATTTTTCCTAAAGAAAATAAGTTATTCTTATTCCAACCTTCATCTCAAGTTTCCCTCTATTTTTGTGTGTTTCCTTTACCTTAATCAAATATACATAAAAAGTAGAAGGGAGAAAAAAGACATGGGTTGTGGGAAATCCAAGCATGATGTTGCTTCAAGCAACACTATCTTCCAACACAAGAAATTGTCATAGAGGGAAACTAAAAAAAATGGGACGAAAACAAAAGATAAAAACAACAACAATGTGAATTTAGAAGTGAGTGAAATAGAAAGTTAATAAAAATGTCAAAGAGCTTGGTGATGAAATTATGGATGATGAAGTAGTTAATAATGTCAATTACACAAACAACAACAATATTGATAATATGAGTTTAGGGGGTGACAATGGAACATAAGGTGAGTGAAAGTATTAAAAATGTTGGTGGTAAAGTTAAGGGTGATGTAGTTGATGATATCAAAGACACAAATAACAAGAAGTCAACAATGTTGACAATGTGAGCTTAGGGGTGCCACTTGAACAAAAAGATGATGAAAATATCAAAGAAATTAAGGATGATGAAGTAGTTAAAGATACAAACAACTATGTTGACAGCGTGAAAATGGAATAGAAGGAGAGTGAAAGTGTCGAAGAATTTGAAATTAAAATCAAGGATGATGATGAAGTGATTAATGATATGTATGTGAAAATGAGAAGACAAATGTGCAAGATTAGAAAGAAGTTGAGCCTATTGTTACAAAGGGACAAATAAAGTTTGTAAAGTTTGAAGGTGAGAAAAATGATTCTTTGAAAGAGAATGAACAAAAGACTAGTGATATTGACAAAGAGAAAATGTCAACAGAAAGTGAAAAGGGTGTAAAAAAGTTGAAACTCTAAAGCTTGGTTTAGATGAAACTAAATTTAAAGTACTAGATGTTGATTATAAAGTTTAACAATTTTTATTTTTTTCATCATATTCTCCTTCATCCATTTAACACTCAATTTTCCTTTCTATTTCTTTTCTTGAGTTTTTATTTTTTTATTTTTTTTAACTTTACTCGTCACACTTATCATTTGCTTTCTTCAATTTTGTTTTCTCTCTAGTAGGCTCATTTCACACAATTCTTCTTTTCAAAAAATATTACATGATTCATAAACACAACTAATTACCATATAATATGTATTCGTTTTTTTATTTTTTTTAATTTCCATGAACGAATTAATAAATCTTAATGTATATGACGTAGTGATTGATTGAAATGTGGTTTTTGAAATATTAATTTGCTTTTATATGTGTAAAGAGGATGTGAGCGTGAAGGAAGAAGAAGACATAAAAGACACAAACGTTTCAACCTCTGAAGGTGATGAAAAGGATTTGAAAGTTGAGGAGGTATGTGGGGTTAACCAAAGTTCACATATTGTTTATTCACATGATAGTTTTGAGAAAGAAATTAGATGAAATATGTTTGTGTTTCAGGAACAATAGAGAATCCAACAAGCACCAAGACGTGAAGAGAATGAGATTAGAGTTAATTGAAATTAATAAAGAAATCATTCTGGTTAATTACTTTTATGTACCAAGTGCAATGTGATTGTTGTTGCTAACGATGCAAAGTAATTGTTTTCATGTAATTGTCTAACACAGAAGCATAGTTACCGATGATAATGACAATGCCACTGTGATTCTTGTAATTTTTGTGTAAGATCCGCAAAATAAGTGAAACTTCAATTTGAAAAATCTAGAAAAAGAAAATTAAAAAATTTGACCTCTTTGCTATCAATAATGTATGAACAAATAAATTATGTCTACCATAAAAATTATTTCATCCATATTTGGATCCAGAAGAGTGTAGCGGTTAAAATACATAAAGTCAAAATTATTCTTATTTTCTTATTTTTTAATAAAGATTTTTATGTCATTATATATATATATATATATATATATATAATTTTACTTTCTATACAATCAAATAAAAAAATATTTTTCTCTTTTATATTTTTTGTCCTATAAATAACCTATTAATGTTTCCCCTCTCTTCTCCATCTAACCTTTGTGCTCTCTTTTTCCGTTATTAGATTTATTTGGATAAAAAAAAAAATTTTTAAGAAGAAACTAGTATTCCAAAAAATTTATAAATTAAATTATGCATAAGTTAATTATAGCTTTAAAAAAACTTATTTTTTATTTTTTTATTTTTTAAAAGAATTATTCAAAAAAAATATTTTTTTCAAATTCACCTTGATATATTAAGTTCAAACATTTGTTCTCAAACCGTATTTTTTTTTAGTTATTTTTGTTCAATAAGAATTTTTTCTGAAACATACATACCATAACCTTTTATTTTTAACTTTAACAATATATCCTTTTAATTTACTAATAAAAAATATACATCATTTTCAATTTTAAATTGAATTTAATAATATTTTAAATAAAATGTATACAATAATTTTCTTTATAAATTAGAATAATTATTTTATATAGAATAATTCTCTTGAATATATTGTTCAATAATTTAATTATTTTCTTTAAAGATTACATTTTCAGAATTTTTTTATCTCTTTTAATTTATCACTCTCAGCTTTATTTCTAAATTAAATTTTAATATTTAATAAAAATATCAATAGTTAAAAATAATTTTATATCACAAAATAAATTATTTATTATAAAATTAAAATATAACTAATATATTCAAAAGCATCTTGAATATCATAAGTTATATTTTTGAATTTATAATGAATAATTAATTTTTTTTATATAAATTTAATTATAATGATTTTCTTTTAAAAATTCTTGAAATTCAATTTAAAACTAAAGATAAAAGAGAATATATAGATTGAAAGCCATATGTTGTTAAGAAAATCAAGTATAAGTATAAAAATAAAGGAGAGTAGTTTGCTATGGTTGTGCATTCAAATATTTGTCCTACAGTCATTTGTGAAGATACCCTTAATGGATTGAAGATCATATCAATGGATCTTCATCGCATATGCTAAAAGGAAATTTTTTGAACTAATTAGTTGTCATCAAATT